CACAGAGTATGATTTACAGAGTTTCGATTAATAAAGCGTAATTTTCGCACAATTACTTGAAGAATATCATGTTATGACTTCAAAACAATTTTAATATGCTGGGAGATTTGAAAACTGATGCTTTTGAACGTTAGCACCGCACATATCCAGCTTCATATCAATGGGTTTTCATCGACGGTAGGTTTGTTCGGTAGCTCACGGAGTACGGAGTACGGAGACGTACTTGAGAGGCAAGGAGCTCCGGTTTGAATCCCGTGTAACTACGGTTCGACAAAACGGTTCAAATCTGCATTTAAGTAAATTCAAATGACACGGTTGCATCAACAAATGCGTTTTTATATCAGTTTTGCATTTGTTAACACTATCGGGTAGGTTTAGGGTTGGGTTTGGTGTAGGGCATATTTCCAACACGATAGAGCATTAACTTTTAGCGACAGTCCCCGGATATTTGAATTCTGAACTGCCGCAATACGTACCTGAAGCAACGTAATAAAAACACAGCAATACGTACCTATATCAACGTAATAAAAACGTGCCAGGGTTCACGTATTGAACCCTTGTTTTAGCGCCACTCAGTGGACATTTCTCTTTGAAACTGCGGCGAAACGTGCAGTAAGGTTCGTAAAAACGGTGTTGCAGAAAAGCACCTAGAGGTACGTATTTTTATGAGACTGGGTTGCATTTATTACAACCCATCAAGCATTAGCATTCACTTCTGGTTTGTGAAATTATTCCTTTGCACTGTAAAAAGATCAGTGCCAAGTTGTAATAACAACTTCAGTAACAGATATTACATTACAAGAAAATACTAATTTAGTCTTTCTTCTTAAATATTTCACATTTTATTTAATGTGTTACTTGTCGTTTCTTAGGAATATAATTATTTGTGAAATGTACTAGGTAATTTCTGAGTAAAAATAGTTTGAATGTAAATCCTACAAAATACAATAATATTTGTTTCAAAGATTACTGATTAAGATTGATTAAGGTAAAGATTATTACTATTTTAGTGTTTGTACTTTAAAAAGTTATGTTTAATTCAATGATACTAGCTGTTTCTTTGCAATTCATTGTGAAATTTACTAATCATTTCTGAGTAAAAACTGTTTTTTTTTTTTACTGAATTGAAAGGGTATGAACAATTTGTAGGGGATTACTTTGTTTAATGGGGTGGAGCCATAAAAACACAAAAAAACATCAGGGAAAAACACCAGTTTTATAACTTTAAATGTGTTTTTCTATAAAAAATGAAAAGAAAAGTGTAAAGCCACTTAGGGACTTCTGGGAATGATTTTGAGTTATGAAACAAATGAATCAGTGAACTGTTTTTTGTAAACGGGCACAAACTGTTCAAAATTTCATTTTCAGCAAAATGAGTTAGACCGTCAATCAATTCTGGTGTTTCATCTTATGCCATGTATTCCCCTATGCCAAAAGGTAGATATGAGTGAGCTGTGAAATTCTTGCTGGGGAAAAAAAAACGTTCTTTTCCGTGTTCAAGGGCATCTGCAACCCTGTAGAAATGCTTAGAAACTGCATTTGATGTGAATTAAAGTGCCAAATCTGAACTTTAAACATCACACTGAATGCTTGTGAGAAACACTAAACCTGTGTTCCCCCAATCAGCCTGGTTTATTTTAGTTTTATTTTGGCTTTTCTGAACACGATGATTCAACATTGTGAAAGGAGAGTGATGGATTGTTCTAGTCAATAATTTCAGACAAGCAAGGATGAACGAGGCAGAAGATGAACAGATCTGAGACACTTGAGTACAGAATACAGGGGTTGTGCAGCTGCCAGCGATGAGCAAGCAAACATAATTATATGAGTTGGGTAGCGGGTTGAGCTCAATGAGGCAGAGAGGAAGAAACACGCTGAGTCTGACGCTCTGTAGCTGCTGCTTTTGTTGACGCCTGGATCACCCAAGGATGCAGCAAAAACATCTGCAGAATAGTTAACCTTTCACCCACCAACAACAAACTCCGTGTGTTTGCTTATTTAGAAACGAAAAAACAAGGAAACATAAAGCTCGAGGAAAACAGGCAAACAAAATAATGAGAGAAGTGGGTATTTCGATTGAATTCCAAAGACCCAAACACATAGCATACACAGAGCATCTTCCTTCACACAAAAATGTAGGTCTCATCTCTATAAGAAGTGTTTTACAATATGCTATTCAAACTGCACATACAGCCAAAATAAACCGCAAACATAATATAAGAAATGCGTTCTTCTGACATAGAATCCAAGTCTCAAATTAACAAGTGTCAAGTTTATCACTAGGGCCAGATTTACTAAACAGGGCAAATTAGTGTTAGAACACAATTCCATAAAAGCACCGATGGGAGGGGAAAATTCTGCGGGTGATTTACTAACAATGCACACATTAAAGAACACAGATGCAGCCAGATCATTTCCATACTGACCATACATACCAGTAATTTGACAAGCGCAAACGTTAGTAAATCGTGTTGCGTGATTCATTTTAATACTCTCCTCCCATAAATTTTGCGTCTGAAAGGGAAACTTCTACAAATGCATATTCAATAAGTTCAGGCGCAAAAATAACTGTCCACATCTTTTCAGCACTAATTCTTCAATGTGCATCTTTAGTAAATCCTGACAGTACTATTTTAACTGCAAAAGATGGTTTGCGCTGGCAAAAGCTGTTAGTAAATCTGGCCCTAAGTCTAATTATTTTTCTGTTTCAGGATACGTTTTTAAATCCTTTTCAATTACGGTGCACTTTAATATTATGCATTATAATAATAATAACAACAACAACAATATTAACAATAATGATAATACTACTACTAGCCTACTACTTTATTATTACTATTTATATTAATTTATTATTATTAATACAATTTATTTTTTATTATTATTTACAAGCAATAAAAACACTGAACAATTTTAGGCATGTTTTTCTTTTTGTAAGTGTCTGTTTAATATAAAATGTCTCTAAAAGGTCCCCCATAGTAAATAAATAGGCAACTGAGGTAACCTTATGATATAATATAATACACCTAAAAAACAGTATTTTAGGTTTCAGTATATTATATTATATATATTGAAATTGCTGGAATCCAAGTCAAGATTCAAGTTAGGTCTACAATCTTCAAATCAACTTAAATGCGAGTCTATGACTTCAGTTGTCATCTCTGCCACACACTCTTTTGTTGACAAGGCTTGGTAATTCATATCAGCACTCAATCTAAGCCGAGTCTTCAGCTGTCATCTCTGTCACACACTTTTTTGTTGACCAGGCTTGGTAATTTATATCAACATTCAACCTAAACCTCTCCTCACACAACAAATACAGCACAAATGCCATATATTGCACAAAAGGCCCGCCCCGAACATCCAATAACCTGGATCCACGCTGATGAGGTTTAACTAAGGGAATGAGGCACTTACTGTTTCCGTAGAGTCGAGGTGTTGTTGGTCCCAGAGCTGTCATTTCGCTCCAGTCGGCCTCTCTCTTTCTCGACAGGGGCTGACCCACATGACAGGCCTCGGGTCAGTCTGGTGTGAGTCCGTCGAGCTGGACCAGGCACCGTAGATGAGGGTGTATTACTGCTGCTGTTCTGATGGACACCTCCAGCATTGTGGTTTGGTAGTGATGATGGCTGGCTGGGCTTAGAGCTCTGGTTGTAGTTGTGGTTCTGCGTCGAGTTCTCGGTCCCCGGGTTTCGTTCCTGCCGCAGGTCCTGGTTCTCCTGGTTGACCCGGTTCAGCTGCGTTTCGAGCTCCTCGATGCGTTTACGCTGCGTGTCTAGAAGTTTGGCCTGGTTCTCGATGATGTTATTGAGCTCCAGAAGATACTCCACAGCCCGACTCGGGCTGTCTGGGTTGGACTCCATGGTTTGGGCCTTACCCCTCCCCCCCCCACCTGATAAGTTCAGTGGGGGGGAGATAAAACAAAAGAGCCTGAAGGTAGAAACTTGATGGAAATGTCTTTTATCCTATATATTGCAACTTGAGTCTCAACAACTGAAAAACACCAGCGAAGAACATTTAAAGCACCAATATTATATGCATCTACTGCATCTTAATGTTCATCCATGAATCCTTCAGTTGTAAAAAAAGTATAGGTGGTAACTGCAGCTCTCAGTAAAGGAGTTTAAAGGTCAATATTTTGCATCCTCCCAGCTGCAGTGATTGTACTTCAACAAGTTAGCGAAGAAAGATGATGTATAAAGAAAAAGAGACATGGAGAGTTCTGGGCATCGGCTTATAGCTTTTCCATGTGACGACATGAAACCATAAGTGAATAAGTAAATAAATGCCTATATTACAGTCAGAAATAACATCTACAGATCACTGCTTCCACAAACCAGTCATGGATTGCACGCTGATTACATGCTGAGGTAGCACAGTGGAAAATGGGGAAGAGCAGCAAAAAGATATCAATCTAATCCCTGAAATCCACTAAGATCTGTATAGCTTGAGATAGACAACATACTGTAAAAATAACGTGAAGAAAGAGCTTTCTTCATCAACAGAAAAGTTACATTTCGTAAAACTGAACCACAAATGTAATGTCCAAACTGCCTTCATACGGGCAGCAGAGCAATTTGCGATTGAAACATTAAAAGTCTATGACACATTTGCTCCTCTTCTTTTCTCCAATATAGTGTCAGTAATTTATATATTCAAAATAAAATGTACAAATATGGCTCCACATGATTAAAAAATCCTACTTACACCTCTCTTCATCGGCGTTTTCTTTTCTTCAACCCATTTTCATGGGTAGCTTTCAGTTCATCTCGAGCTCTCCGATTTCTTCGTACAATTTGCTCGTCTGTTTGTTTTAATCTCGACGTCAGTCGAGTTTGAATAATAACGTCGCTTAAAACGGCATTTGTCTTTTCTCGCATACAACAGACTTTTCCCAGGCGTAAATCTAAGAGCTGGAGCACCTGCTGTAAAGTTGGCGCTCTTCTGTATTTCCCGAAGTGAGCGGCCGGCGGCTGGTCGCTGGAGGCGTGCTGAAGGTTTGGAGAGGATCTCGCGGCGGCTCAGGTTCGTGAGCGCGGTTTTCACCTGACAGATCCGATAGACAGACACTCAGTGGCGGCCAGAGAAGCGTAAACTAGTCTTTCCTGCGCTGCGCTCGCCACTCAGTCAACCCACGCAAGATCAGTACACGAGAGCGAGAGAGAGATTTCAACAAATGAAGCTCGAATCACACAAACATATTACATATGCAAATGAATTCAGTAGCCTTACAAAAATGACCATGGTTACAATATCTCTGCCAAAACACCACAGTTACAACGGTTATTGTCAAATTAATATTAAGAAAGTGATTTTACGTTATTTTCAATTTCACAAAATCAATTGTTGGAAAACTGGCAGCTGTTTTTTTCTAGCTGGTTTCTAGCTGGTCTAAGATAGTCATTAGTTGGTCCAGCTAACAGCTTCTCAGGAGAAACTGTTTCTCCACATGGTCTACCAGCTTAGACCAGCTAAAACAAAGCTACCATCTTAAACTGGATTTTCCAGCAGGAATTAATAATAAAAAATAAATAAATAATTGTAATGGTGTTCTGGGATATGTGGAATGTAAAAGATTATAAACCTCTAAAATTAAAAACTAATTTTCTGTTGCCTTCAGTTTAAGTACAAAGTGATGCCAACATGCAGCAATTAGTTAATTGCACTTTTCACAGACCATTTAGAATCTAATCATAAAACAAATTTAGTTGATAATGAACAGAACTGTAATAATTATATTGTACATGTACATTCATATTAGCATAATCATATTATCAGTATTGTACAGTATTAGAGTATTATTACAGTATTAACTGAAAAATGATTTTGATTTCAAAACTGACACTAAAACATTAACTATAAGTATCTAATATTTTATTATTTATTCATAATATACATAATAAAATAATTATTATTATCATTATCAGCATTAATAGTAGCAGTTGTTGTTTTTGGTTCTCAAATACAAAATCTCAAATACTAAAGTCGAGTTAATACGATTCTGTTATTTCTATATTCTTGATATTAAGTACTTTTCAATAGGCTTTGCTGTCATCTACTGCTCAGGGCAGAAATTACATCCGCATGTAGTAGCACTGGCACACACACACACACACACACACACACACACACACACACACACACACACACACACACAC